TATGTTGGTTCGATTCACGGAAAAACTAAGCTTCTGGCATGTCTTACTTATGAAACATCACAGTTTTTCAGTCACTAAAAATGGAGTATGCAGCTTACTTAGGGATATGATTTTCAACCCCAGCCATGAGAACAAAATCTTCTCGACGTCACGTATTGTCCTCAAGAAATTAGTTTATAAAGAATAATTGGTCTTTGCGGAAAGATGTTTCTGCAATAGCGAAAGTTTCTTTCAATACAATTCTCGCAATTGGGGATAACGATGTTTTGTTTACAAAATCCAAGATTTCTTACACGTTATTATTCCACATCTCCAGAGAATCCAAAAAACAAAAACAGCCGCTGAAAACAGAATCGGAAAAGCAGTGGGAAAAGCGGGACAAGAACCGAAGGAAGAGAGAGGCGAGGCAGGCTCGTCGGAGTGACGCGACATCTAGTGGAGGAAGACTCGTGTCCGAAGATGAATCCGAACTCCACGCTGCTCTCGAATTTGAAGAGTACGAAATCCCGCAGCGTCCTGATGTATCTCAGTTGCAGAATCCGTTTGAGAAAGACCCAAGCAAGCCTGATGTTCCATCCCCGAAACCAGAAATTAAAGAACCTCAAATTGTAAGGGCTTCATCACTTTTCAGTTGTCATAATTCTATACTTGATAATTATTAATATTTAATTTTGCTGAAAGGTTGCTGCCAAGAGTTCAACAAACGCCCCAAGTTTGCTGGACGATATTTTCAAGTCGCAGTCGACCTTATTTCCGGAACCAACGTGGAAAAGCGCTGTTCGGGTTGATGCAGGTTTTGCCGGAAGAGTTTCGAATAATCCACTTGAAGAAACCGTCTTGTAATTTGCATTTTGATTCGCATATATTCCCAAAGGACATCTTTCAAGCTGTTACTTTGAAAGGATTTTTCAAGAATTTATTTGGGTACCAGAGTTTGAAATCCACTTCAGAAATTAAATAAGTCATGAAAGAGCGAGGATAATTTCATTTGTGAAGGACTTCGTTAAATTTCAGCCCCTAATTGAATTTTTTCTAATATTTGGTTCGCATAAGGAATTTATTTAAATCAACGTACAATTTTCGCATGTAGAAAGTAAACCTGATCTCCCCGCAAGGATGGGAGCAACTTTATAGTTTTGCTGATGCTTAATTTTAAGCTGGTCGAGTGAAATTCGAACCAGTTGTCATAAAAAATGAAGTATTTTTAACTCGAGAAGTTTCGAGTTGTGAAAACGAGGGAGATGAGTCATCAGAAAATTTTCGAGAATGATTAACCATAACCATACGCGGTATTTTTTTTTATTTTCGAGTCTTGGGATCGTTAACTTAACATTCAACTTGAAAAAAACGGTCTTAACGTACCCCGTTCAATTCAATTTTTAGCGTACAATTCTAGATATCCTGTATAGAAAAGCATGACAAATTTGGCGGTACAAATATTTGCAGTGTTTCGGAAGATTTGGAGAATGTGAAACCCCGTCTGTTGTTGCCTGCGGCGCTTCGGAATACCTGCTACAGAACTTGGAATTTGAAAGGACCTGATCATGGGATGCCTTTGAAATTGCTTATTCGCACTGGAGACCATGCCTCGAAGGTCAGCATTGCTTCATTATTATTTTTATAATCAGCATCACAATGAAGAAGGAGAGTATATTAGCTTTTGCATTGTTTCAAGTCTTGTGTGCTTTTGTCTGAGAAGTCGCAATATGATGGAAAATGATGACATTTTTGTACGTCATTTCCGAAACCATGTTGGTTGCATTTTTTTGCTCACCCGTACTGCATATTGAAAAGGGGAAAAGGTGTTTTATTTTCAAACCTTATAAACACAGGAGATTTATCTGCATTTTGACGAACATTTAACAAACGTAGAACCTAATTTCAGTTTTATTTTATTTTATTGCGTATACTGTATAACCCATCGTTCAATTGAAGTTTTCTCCCGTCAGTCGTTTCCTACTCTGCAGCATTTTCTGAATTTACCAAGATTCAGGAGTTGGTGTATCAAATTTTGCTGAATTATGTCTTTTAGTACTGTATAAATCCAACAAAGATTTGGAGAACACTAATCATGGTCACGGACAAATAGAGACAGACAATTTGAGACCAAACAAATGAGACAGAAAATTCAAGACAGGGTCAATTCCAGAGAGAGACAATTTCAGACAGGAAAAATACAATTAAGTCACAAATTGAGACAGCCCCAAAGCAACTGCAGATTCCTGTTGAATAGCTATTCATGCTGATTTGAAGTGCAAAATCTTACATAACTCACAAGGGGCTGTTTCTTGTCGTTCTTGCTGATAAATGCTGTTTTTATACTGACATTTTTGGCATGCACTTGAGTCAGTGCCCACATGTTGAGCCTTTCTTTCTATTTTTTCAGGACAAACAAGTAAGTGTCCCTATATGTGAAATTGTCTTATATGAAGAAAACAAATTAGCAGAGCGTTTCTCTGAACAGTGAAATTTTTGTTTTACAGTATTTTCAAACCTTATAAACACAATACATTTGGGAGAAACACAGTCAAGTCATTTTGCCTCAAACAGTGTCTGTCTCAATAAGTCTCAAATTCTCGAAATGTATCTCTCTCAATTTTGCCCTGTCTCAAATTGTCTTTTGTGATTTGTCCTAGATCCACTGATCATAAATTTGTGCTGTACAGTCGAATGACACAACAAAATATCAACCAACCCTCGTATGTTTGAAAGTGTTTCTATGCTGCGTTGAATTTAATATATATTTTTTTTAATTTTCAAGATGGACGCGTCTGGAGAAACCCGGGTCTGCATCAAGGCCAGGGAAGAGATGCAATACGCTCATGGGTACGAAGTTCCGTCCTGGACTGAAGCTGCTGAAAACTGGGCTGACGTTTGCCTCAGGCCTGGTTCCCATCTCATTCGATGTAAAAATTGAAAACCTATATTGTACTGTATTTATGCATGCCTTGAAGAAACAAATGCGATTTTCGTAAAACTGTTTTCGCTTCCTCCCGTGTATTTGAAAATCGTCAGTGCATCACTCTGGCTGGTTTGGAACTGTTTACTCGATCGATGAGAAGAACTTGGAGCAGATTTCGCAAGAGGGCGCGAATCACCTCGTGGGGTTTGATCCCTTGGCTGCTTTGGCCTGTCTTCACCGTTTGCTGAGTAGGTTCAAGTCACTGGACCCGGGTTGCTATTTGCTGGTGCCCGAACTGCCTGCAGACCCGACTAAGGAGCCCAATTTGGTTCATATCTATCGAGAGCACACGCGGGTGATTGGTGGGCATCAAGTGTGAGTAAATATGCATCTGTTGGTTTTTTTGTCATGTCATTTTTTAAAAGATCAGCTTGTTGGTAAATTTGGAGCAAGGTAGGCTCAATAAGATGAGGAAAGTGTGCTTGGAAGTTTTTCTTTTAATTGTCATGAAAGAGAGTGATGTCTTCGATTGTCTGCTGCAGAAGAAATTTACAATATTCATGACCCATTTTTTGACAAAATTACATGTGTTTTACACATTTGAATAACCTCTCTAGGTCAAATTTCAAGGAACCAGCAGCGAGAAAATTTGAGTTACAGAGTACTTCTGTTGTGGGAACAATAGGAAAATTACAAAAGATTGTAAATGGTGATATTCTGGGTCATAAATTGCGTTTAAAATTACAGTTGAACCTTTATGATAAGTCAAACTTCCCCCGAGTCCAATTTTTTTTCCAAGTGCCTGATTAATTTCCCTTGAAACAATGCATTAAAAACCTCACTAGGTCAAATTTGGAGGTACTACCTGTGTAAGTGAGACCCCAAGATGTGGACATAATTGGTGCATCAAGAGTGTCCCTAAGTTGAAATGTCCCCAAGTCAAGTCTCTTTTTCCCTTAGACTTACATTATATAATTTTTAATTGGTCTTTTATGTATAAAATACTCACCATAATTCCGTGAAAATAAAAATGGTCTCCCAATTTAAACTGATTCCAATCAATATANTAGACTTACATTATATAATTTTTAATTGGTCTTTTATGTATAAAATACTCACCATAATTCCGTGAAAATAAAAATGGTCTCCCAATTTAAACTGATTCCAATCAATATATTTCAACATAATATGGGCATTTGGGGAATTGAATACTGATACAGTACCTCTGCACAGTCCATATAGAAATGTTGGCATTCTCTGTAAAAATAATATTCACGTGAAAAAGAGAGAAGGAAGTCCCTCTCAGCTGGAGGTAATTTTTTCAATTAGCTAAACAGATGATAAATTGGTGAGAGAAATGCCCAAGAACTTGTCTTACTTCAATTTTAGGGCTGGAAATATATGTTTCTTGTAATTTGGCCTGAAATGTATTTGCAATTTCATCACAAAATGTCCTTATGTCGAGTCAGTGTCCTCATGTTGGGCCTT